GATTCCGGCGGGGATTCCTGATCCAACAATGGGCTACGACACACACACACACTGTCATGACACCGGGCACGAACGTATGAGGGAGTGTGGTAGATGCAGCGCAAGTTTGTTATCACTTGAAACGAACTTATGCGTCAGTCAGTGCGTTTGTGTTCCACCTTCCTAGACATGCGGTGAACATCTTAGAAACCGATGGTCGAACATTGCTGCACTTTGCTTACCAACCGAAGACCTGTTTCAAGAACCCGAGTGTGACCAACCTTGAAAGGACTAACTTATCTGGACAGGGCGTGGCAATCAACATTTTGATAGGTCCCATTAATGCGGGGCCTTTGTGGTAGACATGCGGACGTACTGTATCAAAGCCAACTGAGAGGTTGTGCTCATGCTTTTTAGTTTACTTTGACTGAAAAAGTGGGTCACTCACTGGAAATAGACAAAGGTCAAGTCGGTTTTCATTAAAATCACGAATAAATCGGTCTTGAGGTAAATTTTTGATGAATAACCTGAGCGTTTCAATAGAATTTCAACCGTCGCAATGTCACAGGGGATTCAGAATATCTCTATTTGTTATGCAGACGCAAACTCTATCTCCGTACCAAGGAGATTATGGCTGAACGGCAAAACCAAGGACGCACAACCCGCCCAGCCATCAAATATGCATATGCACCAGTGCTAGATTGAGTACGATCCGGTAACAGTAGCTTATGTAGGCCCACTCCATTAATCCTTACTCCCTGCAGGTTTTCCTACGTAAACGGTGGTTATAGGGTCTTATGGGTGGAGAATTAGGACACGCAGTGGAATATACTTCAATAAATACTAAATGCATTTTTATTCTACTGTATTTAGATGTGTTTTGACTTATATCTGTAGATTTTCCTAATCTGTATTATCGGTTAACTTACTGTGGGTAAAGCCGATTATCAAATTGCAGGTTTATTGAATTTCCCGTAAAATTCCAATGGTGGCTAAGGGGTCGTCTACTTTAACTTACCTGAGGTCCAACTTACCGTTCTGGAGTTAGATTAGTATAGTCCGCGGGGAGCGAAGCGCCGCGCACACCTTCAATTTACATGCGAAACAACTTACTCCCAGCGGCCGCGGAAATGCCGCGCACGCCTTCAATTTACATGCGGAGCAACCTGCTCCCAGCGGCCGCGGGAAGCAACTCACCTGAGGTCCAACTTACCGTTCTGGAGTTAGATTAGTATAGTCCGCGGCGCTAAGCGTGCATACCTTCAATTTACATGCGGAACAACTTACTCCCAGCGGCCGCGGGAAACAAATTAGACTACATTTTTTCACTTTACATTTTCTTCTAAAAATTTCCTTCTCTGCCTATCCTATTTCCCCACCCCCCAAAACTCTATTACCGCCGTTTTTGCAGGACAAAATGCTGGGACTAGGGGTTTATGAGTGGGCCTACATAAGCTACTTTTGCCTATGATCCTAGCTAAAGATACGTGGATCGGACAAGACAATGAGTCATTATATTTAATTGATTATGCTGTAGCACGGTAGAGCAATGAAACGGTTATGAAGGGACAAGCTCGCCTTACTGAACTTCATGAAAACTAAAGAATAGCATCGTCAACCACGGCTTGTTCGGCCCACAACATGGGGGTATTTTGGCCTGAATGACTGAAAATTTTTCAGATAGATTTCGGATCCTCCAGTTGGGTACTAAGTTCCCTTTTCTCTTGTAATATAGCAACAGTGTGACACAATTTGACAGGAAAACAAAAAAACAGCAACGTCGACGCCCATTGGTTGCTTAAATTTATACGCACAACGTAAGGATTTACTCATCAATCTGTCCATTAATCAGAGCGTCCATAAGCGCCTTCTGTTCAAGTAGCTTACTGCCCTAAAGTAGCACTTTATGTGAGAGGACAAGGACAACGCAATGACCGGCGACCGAAACGGTACGTACCTAGACTTAAAATGGAGCAATCCTACCAGAATATTATTGATGTGTTCTCGGGGTACGTAACGGCAACAATCAACCACTCCCAAGAAGACGTAGAGCCAAACACGCGCTTAGTTAATGCTAATGCGCGAAATAACCACGCAAGGATCCCTGCAGTATTAGTTCATTCGCCTTTTAGGTCGAAACGGGCATTTTCAGTTTGGATTGGTTACAAGACGCAATCTTACCTGGACAAGCATTGTCTCAACTCCAACCATGGGTACCCGTGGAAACTTGAAAAATTAGGTAGAATGCAACGCTCGCCAATCAAGAGAAAACTTAACCTTGAACAGACTGACAAGCACGTGTAGGAGTGCTACGTCGATTAAAAGCACCATCTGTCCAGCCACGCTTATGAACCACACATGACACCTAACGAGTGTACATAAGCACGCATTAACTAAAACCGAGAACCTACCAATCCGGCAGAAAAATGCTACATGAACATAGGAACGAACATTCTGCTTACGGATCTCAACATAGCATGGAATTCATGCTGACATGAGCAAAACACAACTAACCTTCCAAGGGCAGCTCATTCTCCATCAAGGAGGACCAGCCCAAAGCCATTATCCTAAATTCTATGGTCTCCTTCCTCTCTGCCTTATGGACAGACTTTGCCTAACTAATTTCACTTCCTGTCGACCTGAACGGGTATTGACGCCCGGTAGTTCAGATACACTAGAGAGGCCAGAGATGATCGGTCAGCATCCATCTCGCATCGACTGCGGGAAGACCGGCTAGTCAATACACCGAAGTCCAAAAATGAACACGATATTAGCGTATTTTGCCAGTAGTTTGATTCTGACGACTACTCAGGCGTCGGCAACTGAATATCGACCGCGCTGCTGGGTACACACCCAGTAGTAACAAGCCCCCTAAAGCGTTCAGAAATAAGACAATCGGATTTTATATGATATCCTTCACTGCTGGTTTTATTTGTAGGCGTTCGATAAAGAGCAAACTGATCCTCAAGGATCTCCGCATGAAGATAGTGGTAACACAGCCCCTGCACATGGACAGAAGAGCATCATGATTTACAAGGCGATATAACGACGATAGGAAGTGTGCAAAGGCTCACCTTTCAAAGAAAAAGATAATGCGAAACAATTAACAGAGATGCAACACTAAAAAAACTTTAGAAAAGATACAAAATATTAATCAAAGTCGAGAACACGATTAAACGCCTTATTCTTTAAAAAGTACTGTGCAAACGAACAATATACCGCAGCAGGAAAGAGCGGAAAAACAAATAGGGCCAGTCTGTGCATGGTATCTTAGCATTTCAAGGCATCAATGGGGACTCTTCATTTTGTTAGCAGTCTTGCGGTTAGCTGCTGAATTTTCTGCAATTATGCTAGGGCGTGAACTCCATGCTGAAACCTTGCCGGAGTTGCCCGATGGTCGGCGTGTCCTCTTCGTGGGTGACAAGAGCTCAGGAACTTCACCACCTTCTAAAGAAAAGAAGTTTACAAGTAAAATCGGCCAATGTTTCTTATCAAACCAAAAAAGCCGAACGGCCTGACACATCATTAAGACAGCAGTTTGATATTTGGCATATGATTGTTAGGGGAGGTTAACTGAGACCAACTATAAACAGATGCAGAAATTTAATGCAAGAGTGAGAGTTTTGCTGGACACTAGTTTAGGGCACAGAGTAAGAACTTTCAAGTTTGACCAGTACACAATTTCGCATTACGAAACAGGCTACAAAACAAAATGACAAGCACTTAATAAAACCGGTTTGGAATGCAGCTACAAGGCAGAATACGAACTTGACTAAGGCTGGGATAAACGGACAATTGGCCTCTTTATTAAAAGCAACGCTTCTTCCTAACATTGGGTAGTAATAGTGAACACCCTAAGTTACACGTTTATGTGCAAAGGCCTTAAAACCTACCCGATCCACTTGGTTTTCGCCCTCGCTTGGAAGACAGTGAATACATATCGTTTGTCAAACCCGAATGCAGCACGTCAGGAGCAGGAGCGAACCGGCTACTGAGATCGGATCTAGAAGACAAAAAATAAAATCACAAGATGTTCGGGTAAGTGCGTCTACACCACCGACAAACATAGGGACAAAAAAGGAAGGTGGCCGTGCGTAAAGTCCAGCTGATTCATTTTGATTACAAAGTTTAAGTAAACCAATAGAACAAAGTCCGAGAGCTTCGGCCCTAACCACACTGTCTCGTACACCTGGCCGGAAGTTGGTGGTAATCATTCCGTCAATGGGGCCGCAACTGCCCATGGCTACAATAGCTTGTCGTGGAGTAGCATTTATCTTACAAAATACTGAAGTTGGACGACAGAGGCAGGTGGGTGCCATGAAAGGTCAGGACTCAGTTCTAGGCAAGATAAACCTATCCTCCCAGGTGACAACCCACCACATTACGGCTGAAAACGGCTGAATGTGTTGGCTAACGCGGCTTAAAGTCTGTGTTTAAAGTTTGTCACACGCAAACGAAGTAAATAAAGGCGGTGCGACGCAAGGTTTCAATATAAGGGGGAGGAGGAAAAATAAATCGGTACTTTTGTGTTCGGGCACGAAGGTTGAAACGGGAGGCTACATCGGCAGCGTGAAGCGTGTCCTCGTCTGAATTGAGACCATCAGCAGTCGTCGCACCATCTGCGTTCGCGGACGCCGCCTTATTGAGACCCTGAAGAGTGTCTTCCTCGTCCAAAATAACAGGGACGTTGTTACGTTGACTCCACGCCTTTCCCATTCGAACTGTTGAGGCGGAGGAAAGGATGAGATCGTTCCCTGGGGGTTGTGGTTCATCAGCGTTGTTGCTGCCACAGGCCTCATCGGACGATTCGTGCCGAGATTCGGAGCGACTGGCATTGTGGGAGGATGGGTAACTCCCACAAGAACTCATCG